AGACAACACTTAAATTTGGGGTCACATGTTAATTTGGGTGAGAGGTGGGACAGTATGGAAAGAATCTGTAACCAGCATGGTGACACTAAGGAAAGGACACTGAAACGTGCACTTATGTGCAGGCAACAGAGACAAATACTATTACATGCACAATAATGCATTATCACTAGCACCGAACACCAGGCTACAGATAAATGCATAGACAGGTGAGATCGCAGGAACACAGGAATATACCCTGGACCAAGCATAGATTTGACTGATGATAATCTTACATATGCAGTTGTGCTGCAAAATTAGCCACTACATTACAGAAGCAATAGAACACCAAAACCAAACCAAACTCACTACCGTGAAGTCAGATCCAACTCACAGCGACCCCTCCTTGGGTCACCGACACAGTATCACTACAGAAGTAGATTGCCCAATCTTCCTTCCAAGGAGTGGCTGGCAACAGAATACAGAGTTGGAGTAACTTCTCCGAGACAACCCAACATATTGAGAGAGAAACACCAGGCCTGCAGTCTCAGGGAACATCATGCTCCCTTGGCACAACATAGTACATACAAATCTTTTCTACGACCTACTTGGTGAGCAGCAACTGGGGTCTTAAAAGCTTTTGAGCAGCCATCTAAGATGCAACTATTGGTCTTCTCTCATCTGAAGCAAAGAAGAATGAAGAAAATCAAAGGTATCTGGAAACAATTAGTCCAAGGATAAGATGAACCATGAGGACCTTAGTCTTCATGACTTTGAGACCAGAAGAACTAGATGGTGCCTGGCTACCAATGCCAACTGCTCAGAAAGGGATCAAAACTGGAGATCCTGGATAGATCTCCTGAGAGGAAAAATGTGGAACAAAATTCAAAAACACAAAAATGACCAGAATTATTAACCCCTGAGACTATGGCCCTGGTTTACCCTTCGGGCCTAGAAATGGACTCCACTTCCATGGACTGGCTCTCAGCTCAATGCAGAAAGACCTACATGCAGAACACCTACCCCAGGGTGATGTACCCATCTATTCTAGGGAGATACACCCCCTGTATCAATCACCCATGAGACACTAGAGGGGCGGCCAGCATTCACATAGAGGGAAAGCTGAACAGACAGGAATGCATAGTTAGGAAGGATACAGGGAGGAATAGTCACATGGGGTGGGGGTGGGTGGGTTAGGGCTGGGGATGGTAATCAGGCCATGAAGTCAAATGTCCATGAACTGTTGAATATAAGACAAATTTGCTTAGTAAATTTGCACCCAAAGCACAATTTAAAAAGACAGCACTTAAATAGATGGTAATATTTTGTTAAATAGAAAGTGCTTTTTAACAGGTCTTAAAATGGCTAACTTATCTTTCAGGATCAGCCTGGTTAATATAACATGAAATTGCATTGATCTTTCAAAGACAGCTATTTCTTCATTTATTTTTCTGTATTTCATAACTCTATTTAATTCATCTACACACAAATGTGTGAAATAAATTTGTAATTGTGTTTTTCACAATTTTTTTTGAACATTCTATTATTAAAAAAGGAGTCTGTACTGTTTGAAACTTATCTCTAAAAAGTATCAAGCAAGAAACCCTTAGAAAAAAAATTAGAACAGAAAACTTGTCGTTCCTGATTCTGCTATTAACATTTTCCATAAATTTGAACTACACTGGACAGCAGTTTTCTCCTCTGAAGGAACGAAAGAGGAAAAAGGAGGGCAGGAGGAAAGAGAAGAGGGGAAAGGGAGATGAGGGGAGGGAGGAGAAGGAAGGGAAGGGGGAGGAAGGAAGAGACTGGGTTCAATAATCTCTAAGTCCCTTCCCCCTCAAAATTTTCTTCCTTCTGTTAAAAAGAACTTGCCCTTACCTTGGCGAGTAGTGACTGGCATCTTAAAAGCTAGCAAGCTGCCATCTAGATGAAACAATGTGTCTCTCCTCATCCAGAACAAGGAAGAATAAAGAAAATCAAAATTCATGGAAACAATCAGTCCTAGCGACTGGTACACCATCCGATCTGCAGCCTATACAACTATGAGACCAGAAGAACTAGATGGTGCCCAGCTACCACT